ACTTGCCGCTTGAATTGTATTTTGTACGAGCTCTCGACGCCCATCGTTATGGTTTCGAAGTGACATAATTTTCTATGAACCGTGTCCAGTAAAACTATAAGCGGTTTTGATTGGTTTTTATAAATTGCTTAAACAGAATTTCATTGGCTACAATTGAAAAAAGATTTGTATCAGACCAGATATTCGGACATGTCTCATGGCGAATTTTTGTTTGGGGCGAATTTTTCCGTGGTCACCTGTAAGCGTATGTCGTATAATACGACGTACACTATCACTAGGTATTTGTATGGGCCATCTGTTTATCTTGAGGATTGGAGTATAAATTGTCAACAGGTTTTCCGCACAATGTTGTATGACTTGCACCATTGAGATAGATAAAGCGCAGATCAATGTCGTAAGTGACCCCAACAGCATTCGTCAGACGGACGACAAGACGCGCTTCTCAGCTACTCATTTCAGAAACGAAGCAAAAGAAAGAACGTCGACTCAAGTATCTCTCTGCATTCAACCTCACGACATTAATCACTCATCAAATGACACACTGCAGAGGGTCCGTCGCCACTGCCTCACTTTCAGCATCGTCGCCGCCCCCACACTCGCTTCCTTCGTCGCGGCGAAGGTGGAGTTCACGTCGGGTCTTCTTACGCTTCCCCGCGTTCTGGCCGGGCCGGCACAGCACGACGCGCTTCCCCAAGTTGCTGGGAATGTTCTCCCCGGCCTCTAAGTCCTCATGCCATATCTCAAAACAGGTCTTGTGTATGCCGTTGTATTCGCGGCGGATTCTATTGCAGAGCCGGCACTTGGCGTCGTCCAGCGAACAACCCTCGCAAAAATAAGTCGTCGCGAAGGACTTCTTCTGCTGTGTCCGCAACAGTGCACAGACCTTGCACGACCGTTGGCGGCGCTTCTGAACGCCGCTAACAGTGACCCAGTCATCGGCCTGTTGAAGGGCGTGCGTCAGGCGGAGAGGTGTCCTCCTGCGCCTCTGGCTGGATGGAGGCGGCGTAGGATGTATCCCTGCGAAGTCCTCGGCCTTGAGCTGCAAGATATGGTTCTGGAGGACCGCAAACCACTCAGCCCTTTGCATGGCGACCGTGCCCTTTGCCTTCGCCCCCTCTTTATGGCTCAAGTACGCATTCACTAACGCGAGATCCAAGAAGCCCACGAACAGCCCCTTGTAGTACTTCGTAATTCGCGTGGACATTTGCAAAGAGTAGCTCTGTAGGTGGAGTTGATCGTGGCGATCACCTCCGCCCATTCTGTTTTGGTAGTCTTTCACGGCCTGGGGGCACCCTACTTGGATCGAACCAAACCGCTTGATCTTCCGCTCGAGAGTAGACGGCGTCATGGTCGAGCCTGTGCAGAGATAGTAGATCGGTTTGCGGTCCCACCATACGCACGATATCATGGTGGGCGCCGCGACCGAGCGCGAGAATAGAAACGAGCCACGGGGTATACTTGCTGGGCGGGTCTTTCGCTTGGACAGGATTGCCTTGTTGAACCCCAAGCGGTTCGTCTGGATTGTGCCCACCACGTAAACCTTCATCTTCAGCAGCTCTATAGCCAGGAGAACGGATGAGTAGAACCTGTCTACCACGACCGCATGCCAGGCGTGGCGTGATTTAGGTGAGAACACAGCCGACAGATTCCGCAGTACGGCAGCTGCGCCAGTCTTGACGTCAATTGGATTGTCAACGCCCTCCCACCACGGCCGCGACAAGCTGTGGAAGCTGCGGCCTATAGTGGATAAGCTACAAGAACGATTCTTGTCAGCTTGGTCTCTACCAGCAATTTTTTCCTTCGACGAAGGCGTCCCGCCACGTCAAGGCGCAACCCCACTCGCATGTTCATGTCGGACAAGCCGCATCGTTACGGCTCAAAAATATTGATGCTGTGTGACACAAAGACGGCGTAGTGCCACAGGTATATTTTATTATGTCGTAAGTTACGCCTTGCAGATATTCTAACAGCTTTTTATGTTGTATTCGTTGTAGATTTGAAGTTAATGTTGGCAAGTGAGTGAAGATCCCGAAGGATGTTGATGCAGCGGTCACGGCTCATGTACCGCCCGAAGAGTCCGGCAGGTATGGCGCCGTCCTCGACCATTGACCAATGCGCGCCGAAGCGCCGCTTCTGGGGGCACAGCATACGTGCCACCAGAAGCCCAACTACATGTAGCACCTCGTGTGCGCCGTAACCTTCCTTTGCCCTCAACCGACGAGCTATTTGGGCTGCGGTCTCCCGCTGGCGCCCGAACTGCCGCGCAGCCATCTTTTCTGCTCGTTGGGCAACTTGTTGCAAGCAGTAACGATTGGTCTCGGTGGCAATCGAGACCCAAGAGCGACTTCGGCAAGAAGTAAAACAGTGTCAGGAGTGGAGACCGCCACAGGTCCAGCAGCTGACCAACTGGCCTTGCCTTCTTCGCCCGCACCGTGTTCTCGCGTTCCTCCAGATCAGATCTAGATAAACCACCGTCGCCAACATGCAGTGACGCGAGGAAGGATTGATCAATTTCCTCCGCGTCACTGTCAGAGAGCTCATCACCCCCCCCCCCCCTCGCCCATTGATTCGCCACCAGAATCGCGGTAGTCATCAACGACTGCA